AAGTAATTGACATACAGTACTGTACTGCCGTACATCCACACCAGAGGATGCTGTCCAGGCCTCACTGTTTGGATCATGTGTACTGGCCAAATGGTATTTTTTTCGTATTTTCAGGTGTTTACAAGCCGGACATTTATAACTCTTGAGATTCCTTGTACAGTACTATACAGTAGTACAGGTATCCCCTTTGGCTGGAATCTTTGATCCCAGGAACTTTCCAATACCAGGAAATCAAAAATAAAATTCAGAGAAATTCCAAAAACATATCTCCATTCTGGGAATTCAAATGAATTTCCATGCAATTGCATCATGCAATGAGCATATGCCAAGTGCATGGGGTGGGCTAGTGTATTGCATACATCATTTTCACCCCTAAAAACTCTTTAATTCACATTACGCTACAAAACATTCAAATCCACCTCGCTTGTAGAATCTCAGAAAACGGGAAACGTTGATAAAGCATAACTCATCTACTGAATGTTACTGAATTATTTGATGAATTGTACCTAGGTACAGGTATATAATATTAAGTGTATGTACTCATAGCATTAAGGAGAACTCAAGGTATCTATAAGATGGTTGGGAGAGTCCAATCAATACGGGCTAGTGTACTATAAGGGCTAAGTGTAGATCGTGTTTGAAGGTCATTCTAATGACGTCTGTGAACGATTAGTGTACATAGCTACCGCAGGTAGCAGATGAAACTATAAAAGAACATTGATTTGGAAAAAGGATACATGTATTAGACCTATGTGAAGTGTTGGAAGTGATCCAGAAACTATACTTCAAAGGAAATATCTTGTATGCATCGGTGTGGACTTAATACACCTCGTTATCTCGTGTGACGTATACCCACGAATTATACAGTGATCAGAGAATCTTATGACTGTGTTCAACGAGCGCAATGTGTGAGGGGAGGATTCCTAATTACAGTTTTAAGTGAAGTGGATATACCCACGCTATGAACATTCGACGCGCGGCTTTTGTTTCAGAGTTAGCGTCCTGTGTACCCGGACTACAGTTTTGAGTTAATGATATGGCCCAATTAATTTCCCCAGGAACTGTCAAACCTGAGCTGTACTTTAGTATGTAATTTAGGAATAAGATATATATTTATAAGGCATAAGGTCACAAAAATAGGAAAGTGTTCATGTGAGAACCATAAGAAATCAAAGTGAAAATTAAAGATTGGAAAGTGTAGGCCTAGTCGGTGAGAGGCAGGGGGGCATTATCCTCAGTATCGATCGTCTTTTCACTAAAATAGGTCAGTGAACTTCATCGTGCTATATTCAGCCCTAAAAGAGACTTATCTAGCAGTTTTTACATCTTAAAACCTTGCCTGATGTTAAAAAGTGAAGTAGTAATGTGTTAGGGTGGGTGATAATGGCCCATCAGGCATTATTTCTCAGTATCGCCCGTCTTTTCACCGAAACAGGCTCCCACGCGTTCTGAGCGTCTTCAGAATGTCGGCCATTACTCCTGTGAGGTGACTGTACGACGTTATGCTCCTCCACTGTGAACCTGTGGATTCCCGGCATATCACCACCCAGGAATAGCACATAATAGTATGGCATGTTTGAGAAGATTCGCGGTTGTCGCTTGGAGCGATCTAGAATACCAGGCGTAGAAACAGTACTGGTATGTTTACTTGTGGAGTACCCCTCTCTACCCACCAAGAGCGGTGTGCGAACGAGGTGCCTGATATGTGTACCTAGATATAGCGAGGAGTTCCATACTTATAGGTGTGGAGTGTAACCGGGGTGTGGTGAGATGGTGCTATAATGTGGTGAGATGGTGCTATAATGTGGTGAGGTGTTGCTATAATGTGGTGAGGTGGTGCTATAATGTGGTGAGGTGGTGCTATAATGTGGTGAGGTGGTGCTATAATGTGGTGAGGTGGTGCTATAATGTGGTGAGGTGGTGCTATACAATAACCTAGGGTGCTATATTCCAACAGGTGAAGCAGTCTGATGTGTTGGGTGTCATTGTAAGAAGGGATGACCGAGGTAAGGAGGTCAGTGATCGTTATGAAGTATGGGTGTTAATGACACACAGTTGATGTAAGACGTGTGTTGTTGGGCAGTGTAACTAAAATCATAGTTGTTCTTCTGAGGAAGGCCAACTCTTCTTGTATTCTGACGGGATGCAATATGTTTTATAAGGAATAAATTAGTTAAGACATGTTGTTGCTTCACCCTTCTTCCCACTATCGATTTGGTCAATGAAAAACCCAACCCAATGCCTAGCTTACTCTGCCTGATACCTAACGAGCTACATACTGTCCAGAGGGGGTCTGGTGGCAGCGACCTCAAAAGTAAGAATAGAGTTAGGTTATCCCCTTAGAATTAGTGACCCCAGAATCTGGCAGTATACTAGCTGCATAGAGAACTTAGGTCATAGGCTCAGAGTGCGCATGAACTGCGATTGACTACTACCATCATGTGACTGCATGGAATTCCTGCGATTGGGTGATGTATCTTACAACCTATCTCCTCAAATTCTATTATCATGACGTGCTCTGAGTTCATTGTCTGTCGTCATTGTATCGGCTTGTTTACTTTGTTCATTACAGTACATGTACTGTACTTTACATTACTGCACCATAATACAACTGGCCAAGGATACAATTGAAACAGTGTTAAGAAGTGAAAAGTGATTACTGTGCAGTTATGTATACTATAGCCTAATGTGTGTTAAGGGTATACACATAGTATACAGTACTGTATGTGTACAATCCCTCCTTCATGGGGGGAGAGGAAAATGACAATTAGCTACACTTTCTACAGTAGATGGTACAGGACAAAGGCAGTCCTGGCTGCATCACAAACTCAAGATGACAACTTCTGTTGGGGAGTACTGTATAGTGTATAGATATCTCGTTTAACAATGGGGTTGCGTCCGTGAAAAAACAAATGTTAAGTTAAATTATTGCTAAACGAGGGATAAAAGCAACGCATGGAGGGCAAATAACAGGTTCAAATGGCAGGGCGGTGGGTGAACAGAGTACAGTACACTGTTATATATAATCCCTAATCCAGGTACACCACTGATTTTCCAGCACCCTTGGTTCCAAAGCCTTGCTGGACCAACTGAGATCAGTAATAATAATTCAATACACCTCTGACCCACTAATTATACACCTCCTGTGTCTCTAAAGCACCATGAACTGCTAGAAACCTTCTCCCAGGCACTAGCAATGAACCAAAGCACATTAAATTCTTTAATAAATGTCTCTACTGGCTTGCCAGTGTTTACCACGTCTAACATATGTTTCATGAAAAGTGAGCCGAACTAAACGAGGTACTGGACCATCAGTTCCCGGAAAATAGGTGGTGTACCTGTAATAATAATACTGTATACGAGTTTGTTATAAATGGTTTCGAAGTTAATTAACTGATTTATTAACACTAAACTTCTATATAAATGATGTGGTTCAGATTTAAACAATTTAGTGAGTAGAAGGTGAGCCTAATTCAAAAAAATTTCAAGTTGCATGTCAAAAACTAAAAAAAATTGATATAGTAAAGAATAATACTTATACATAGCATATCATAAAATACAATAGTAAATATTTTATGCCCAAAAATAGCTTCTACCACATTCAAATCATCATCTGGGCAACTTTGCACAGTTCAGCCGGGCCGTCACCCAGCTGACTCTGAAACATGTGTATGCCATGATGTCACATCGGGAGAGTGGCTGGGCCAGTGAGTCAGTGATGCCGTTACACCCCACTGCCTCTACACATACACGCCCATGCACTTAACTTTTCTTATTTAATTGTTTCATATTATATTTTCTTTGTTATGATTTTTCTACAACTTTTTAGTTTCATTACATGTACGAGTAACACTATCAACACGCCATCTCATAGGCCACATCATCCCCAGTTTTCCCCTTTCTAGTGAGTCGAGCTATCACTAAACCAAACTTTGACCTATCGTCAGGTGAGAAAGGGTGCAAGACCAAGTTAACGTAAAGTGAATTAATGCAAAATGAGGGATACCTATGTACAGCAGTATATTTTGTTTATTTATGATACACTGCACTGTACAGTAGTGTCTGTAAAATTATTACAGACCTGTGGCTGTCTGACTGCACTTAAGCCTCATGGCTAGTATTCAAGCTAGTAGATGCTGCCTAGCTGCTTATCCCTGGCAATACTGGTCAGTGCCAGATGCGTAGTTTAAACTCACAAACATTCACCAAAGCCCAGAAAAATTCTATAAATCTTATTATTTTGGAGGATTAGGATTCATCGTGATACGCATTAATGTCTTTAAAATGGAATGTTCTTCAGCAATTGTTCCAGTTATCTGTGGGATTATTGTAATTATAAGCCTTAAGATCAGCCCCTGGCCTTTGAGCTATGGTCAGCACCTACCCTCCCATGCGGGTATATTCGGAAACATTTAAAAAACAAATAAAAAGCAATTCTAGTCTTGCAAACTGGCCATACATGATATAAACAGGAAATAAATAAAAGTCCTTATCACAGGTTGAAAACACCCAGACTAGGAAGTCGAGAATGCTCGTTAAGTGGTGGTTGTGACAGTATAGTAACGAGGTGACCAAAACTAATTTGAAAGGAGCATTAGGTATAGGACAGTTGTTTTACTATGTTATTACTATTTACACCATAAGAATCATTATTACTGCTCCAGTAATTGATCACAATACTAGACTCGTGCTTGTGGATTGGGGGGTGGTAGAAACACATGATGAAGGGAATCAAGTCCAAGGGCAAATTGCCAACATCACAAAAGCAGAGAAGCTACTGGCAGTTTCTCATGTGCGAGTGATTGAAATATAAATACCACCTTGGCATCACACGTCATAAAACGTGACCCAAAGCCTAGCAATTCAAAAGGTATTTTCAGTTCTCAAACTTCTTGCAATCCTTATTAACACCAATACTTACACCCACTGAAACATTGCTAACTCAGTTCTCTTAAGCTACATTAATATTTGTAATAGGTTTTACAAAATAAAACATGGGCAGCATTTATATCTTTATTTATAAAACTGAGAAAGGGTTTTGCTATGAATGTTTGTCAATCAACAAGGTTTAATAAATACTTTCCAGCATTGAAACTTGATCAGATTATTAAGGAAATTAAATATTAATAAATAATAATATGCTTTCCACTTCGTATGTACCTTATTTAAATGCATATCACATAAATAATATGTTCTCTTATTGACAGTGTAGTAGGCTAAGTGTTAAACAAAAACAAACAATTGTCTGTAAAATAAAGTACAATATATGTATATAAAACCTCCCAACAGGACTTGTTTTAACCTTCCTTTAATCTACACAATGTTATGTATCTGGACAACTATCTTCTTAATGAAGGTTCTTTGCTGCCACACAATACACTGAAGTACCACAAATTATCTACCTTAACAGCTACTGTTGGCAGATGTCAACACCACAACAGTGTTTCTGACTTGCATGATTCCCTTTAGGTGGGAAGTTCTTACCCAACATTTCATGGGAAGTAAAGAGTTTAAAAAATATACTTATTTTTTATGTTTTGGCAGGAGGCATTAATACAATATTCCCATTACTGGAGCAATACTAATAATATAGTTTCCTGGGATAACTAATTCAGTCTAATATGGTGCCACTGTAAATTAAAATTTCTTGGTGAAACACAGTGGTAAGAACATTGGAATACATTACACAAATTTATAAGAATTATGCAAACCTTTCATTGTGACTAGGAGAGAACAGTGTATAATCTGACAAAAAGCTGGGCATCATCAACTGGATTATTCACCAACAGGAGGAAGGGGGGAAAGAGAGAAAAAATATATTGGATATTTTGGGATGAATAATTTCTAAGCATGACCGTATAAAACACAGCTCGACTGAAAAACTAGCTGTAGGTGACATTATTTCATACCAGTCTTTAACAAATATCAAAATTAAAGGTTAATTAACTTGAAAATATACAGAACAGTATATAACTTCTCTAGCAACTATCCAGTACAGTATATACAGTAAATAAAAAAAAGTTACCTAGTAATCATTTAGCACTTGACCCAAAAAGAAAAAATATATAACTTAGTTAGATATAATAGGCTATTTAAATCCTTCCTTTTTCTTCATGCCGCCACGTCCAGGACCCCCCCCTCGACCACCACCACCACCACCACCTGGAGGCCCACCACGACCTCGACCTCCAAAGCCACCTGATGAAAGAAAAAAGGGTAATAATATATACTAGCCATACTTAGAATTAAAGACTGCACGAGTCCAATTAAACAAATCAATCAAACACTTAAAAAATACAAGCTTTGTGGCCAAGCAGAGCCGTTCCGAGGGGGTGGCGAGCAGGGTGGCTGCCCCAGGCCTCACGCTCTCCTGGTTATAGTTCAAATGCAACACAAACCAGTAAACAAAGGCTGTGCTCGAGGGAAGCATTTTAGTGAAAGACTAAAATTATCATGAATCATCAAATGAACACTTGTTCAACTTAACCAATTGGATGGAGGTGAAAGGTTGTGTTCAATGAATATCATAGATACACGCATGTTACAAGACTTGAATAAAGAAAAGGAACATTGGCAATCGGTTCTAACATGTAAAGTATTATAGCAGCTGACTTAACCAGATGCAAAGTCAGGTCACCCATTATATATAATTCTTCTCTCATTTGAGGTAGAGGTGGAGTTAGGGATTAGTTGCCTCATATTACTGACCTTCTGATACAATGTCAGGTCACCCAGTGTCGGGGTGGGTGATTAGTGGGTCCCATGACCTGAAGATGTCTTGAATAAAAGCGAAACCTAAGTTGCTCCAGTGTACTGTATTTCACTTACTGAAAGTACAATACAAGTATCTCTCGTTTAGTGATTGTTCACTTGGTGATATTTGAGTTTAGTGATTTTAAATTTTTAACACTTTTGTAGTTTAACGATCATCAATTTTCGGTTTAGCGACCTTCGACTCAATGGGAAAAATTCAGGAGGGAAGTAAAAAAAAAAAAAAAAAATGGTGATTCTGTGCTCCAAGTGTTCATCATTACAATACAGTACTGTAATGTGACTTAGAAATAAAGAAAATACTGTACTGAATACTGTATATAGTAATAATATTGGAAGCCCCTCAAAATCGAGGATGGCCGACCCAAGGGCCACCTAGGCGTGAATTTGTATAAGGTGTATAAGCTATCGCCAACACAACAACCACACCTTAAGTTAACAAACTGCATGATCCAGTGTCAAGGAATAGTCCGAGAAGACTGGACAACTCGCCAACTGCACTGGATAACCATTACCCCGGAAGACGATCTGCAAATTGATTAACATCCAGGTCCCCAAATACTGATGGGTAGACAGAGGGAAATGGCGTAAAGAAACTTCCCCATAGTTTCACCCTGCTCGAGGATCGAACCTGGGTTCGCTCCCTTGCGAGTCGAGAATGCTGACCATTACACCACAGGTTGCCAGTACAGTATTTTAAAGTACAGTACAATAATAATAAAGTAAATACAGTACTAAATAAATGTACTGTAACACTTATATTGCGATGTGAGCTGATAATATGTAGATGATATTCCCAAAGTACAATGGTTACACTCGTATATGAAGTAAAACCCACACTGGAAAAATAAGGGATGAAATTTTGGAGCTGGTATACTAGGACTCTCTTCAGTCAACTACAAGAACAAACCAAGGGAGAAAGACAGAACAAAAGAATTGTGTTACAACCTGTCTCCTGAGTTGAGGCAGGGTGGGGATTAGGGATAATCTTCTCGATAACAGTATCCACGATCAGGTTCGGGGTCCACTGACCTGATCCTGAATACTAAAGAGCATGGGTGTGTATTTGTGGGAAGTGAATTTCTCTATTGAGACAGTGAGCTGTAACTGTGGCCAGCTACACTCTCCTTCCCCCATATGTGACATCATGGCACACAGGCATCAGCCACACACTTCTCTTGAGTCAGCTTAGTGACTGCCCGGGTGAACTGTGTCACATGTATACTGGACCAGTAAATGTGAGGAATAAATAAAAAAAAAATAATAAAAAATAATACTTTGCCATTTGGCAATCATTTCACAGAACTCGAGACAGAACAGCTGAGAGATCCCCCACGCTACCCCCCCCCTTCCCCTGTTCAGTAGACTAATTGCTGTGCACATAAGAAATGTTTATTATCTTTGTTTTTAACTTTATGATTATTATTATTATTTTTTGCATATTGTTATGAACAATTGTGTGTGCATGTAAGAGAGGAAAAGAAAATGATGAAAATTTCATATATCTTCCAGAAATTAAGAGTTGAACAATAACATAGCTCACAGCTCAGCCTCACCCACTCTGAGTGCTACTGGGTGGCGAGTTGGCTACACAATTACATGCCATCTCCACAGACATTATTCCTCATTTAGGATTTTATTTCGTTTTTCCCTTCGTTTAATGATCATTTCACATAGCGATCGGTTTTCAGGAACACATACTGATCACTAAACGAGGGATACTTGTAAACATAGCTGCAATTATTTTTTACAGCTGAACACTGCTTTAACACTGTATTCTTGGCTGATTGTGTCCTGGAACAGTAATGTACAGTACATCACTGCACAACACAAATTGTACACCAAAACATCAGCTAACGAGGGAATAACCTTATATACAATAACAGCAGAATATGAACTACACAATCCAAGCAGCTCGGCCACCCATGAGCCTGGTATGTGGGAACGCGTTGGAACATTATGCAATCTCTGGGAACTCCCGGAAACTTATTACCAGATCCAGAACAGAGAGGTTTGGAGACATTTTCTTGGAACCTTCTCTGAATATTTTTCTGGAAAATGTGCCTGATCTTCATCCTAATGGGGAGATTACTACAGGAGCTCACAGGAATAAGCAATGTGTTAACAGTACATATTTTAATCTCTGAGATGTATTGACGTAGTATGGATATATGTAGTGAGAAAATGGAGAGTAAGGATTGGTCCCACAAAAATGTTTAATTCAGAGGTGGATAGTTGGAGGGAGTGGATAAGATATAGTAGAAGGATGGGGTAGAGCAAAGTCTAATTAAACCGAGTCAACCCACTTCAAGTAGAAAATTTGTCTTTCGTCGGAACACGTGCTATGTGCAAACCGTACTTACAGAACAATGTTTTAAATCCCACTACATCATAGCCTAAGTCCATATATACACCTAAAATCACTTATTGTAAGAGAAAAGAAGAAATAGAATGACAAAATACAGAAAATAAAAGTAAAAATAAGTCATCAGGTAAATAAAATACTGAAAATTTCAAGTTTAACCCTGTTTGTGTCGGCAGGTGTTGGTAAGTCGGGGACCCCCTGTACAGGTAAAATGTTTAAAGCAAATCTTCTTCACTCACCTCTTCCAGGACCGCCACGACCACGCCCGGGTCCACCACGGCCCCTATTTTCACCACGACCTCGTCCACGAGCCACCACTTCTTCCTTTACAAGATCAATCACCTCATCAGGCAATCGTAGGTATTTGATGGTGGAACCTCGGATATAGCATTCTGGCATCCTCCAGAACTTGTCACCATCCTGGAATGATGAGATAAGTCAGATATCATTCATAATGCTGTAAAAAACATTGATATGATCTACCTGAGGTTTTATCATACACCAACTTCTGTACATTATTTGATCACACATGATAACAAAATTGCTGGGAGTGACTTGTTCTCTCTGACAATGGCTCTTAACATTGGTTGTACAGTAGTTATATGAGTCTCGTTAAGTGGCCAACTGTACCTCCAATATTAAACTATCATTCTCAGATATGCCATACCTCTGCCTTTATCATTGTACTCTCCTCTACTGATGTAACTTTCTCTTATTTACAAATACATACTGTATATTGTTGTATCACAGTGAAATCACCTTATTCTATTTCAAACTATACGTATGTTGATGAAGAACTCCCCACATCATATTAATTAAAACAAATTTATCCCATAAAATAATTTTGTTGGTAATAAAACACCACAGTAGATTAAATTCATTTGAATTTCCAAAGCTGAACACAACCCAATATACAGTGATATCTCCATTAGCCAGAACAAATGGCGCAGAGCACTTCTGGGAATGAGAGATTTCCGGAAAAATCAATCATCCCCGGAATTTTCCGGGTAACGGAAAAATTTTCACGGAAGTTTCAGATATTGCCCATTACATCATCTCTCGAACCCAGAAAAATATACCCCATCCCCGGAATTTTCCGGGTACCAGAAATTTTTTTTCGGAATTTCTGGAAAATGCACCTGATTTTCATCTCTCAAACCCGGAAAAAACTCCCCCATCCCCAGAATTTTCCGGGTATTGGGAAAAATTTCATGGAATTTTCAGGAAAATGAACCCCCCGGAAAATTTGTCCCAAAGTCGGAATTTTCTTAAAAATTACGGTATTGAGAATGATTTTTCAAGAAAATTTTAATTCGGTTATCAAAGAGTTCTGGGTTTGAGCGATCCAGCTAACAGAAATATTACTGTACATAACTTCCAACTACAGTACTGTAATGTACTGTACTAACACACAACAGATATGACGAGAGATGAGTCTCAGGTAGCATAAATGAGTTTTTACAAGTGTTGTTGCTTCCCACTTGGAAAGGAATTCTCAAGATATCAATAATGTTTAAGTAATTCAAAGTGACTTCTATCTTTGTATGACTGGTAATGAATATAAAAGTTAATGCATACTACAGTATTACCTAGTTGTGGATTCAATAAAATAAGATTAAAGCTCTACTGCACTTTTGTATGACAGTTAGTCCTGGAGATGTTGTGAACATGGAGGGTGTAGAAAATAACGTTCATAACTTTGGAGGATAAATGGATATACTCCAAGCTCTAAATTTCTGTCCACCAGACAACTAGTTATACGAGTAGCAATAAAAACCCTAACTACTGTACTGTACTCCATTATAGTACACCATGTTTATAATATATCAATTTGAGACCTATAAACTGACAACACACCCCAGTAGCATTTTGCAATGCTGGGAGGCTACACCACTGGTGATGGGAGTGTTAGAACTGTATAATAATCTCCCCATTTGCTGGAATCTTTAATCCCCAGAGCTCTCCAATAGGCAGAATTTAAAGTGTGCCAGAAAAATTCTCTCTATTCCAGGTCTGTAAACGAGTTTCCGAGGATGAACATCAGAAGCATTTTCCAGAAAATGTTTTGACAAAATCATGCTCCAACTTGTCCCCACATGCTAGGTATGTGGATAGCCTAGCCAGGGTTGCTAAAACATTGAGTTACCAAACCGCAGTAGATAGCCCTCAACAGACGTGGCAAAGGCCTTAAATGTAGCCCAAATATAAGGACTCTTTTAGCTTGCAATTTCACACTCCTATAACAATTAATACAAAATATTATCATTACCTGCAATACAGGTAAAGGAAATTGCTGTCTCTAGAACGAATGGCTCCCTGTCCCATCCGCGAAAATGCCAACAACTTTAAAACCACCCACAGACATTCCTGATTCTTGTGTACATCCAGAGTATCATCCGCGAATAATAGAGGACCCCGAAATAAAAATCCGCGAATTTGGGGGGCCCCTCTCTATATTTTTCTTTGTTGTAGGTGATCATGGTTTTTGTTGAATAAAGCCTCATATTTTGGAACTTGGCTTTTACTGCACCCACTAATCCCTTACCCAACCTCCATCATAAGTGTTAAAAAATAAAGTTAATGTGATTACAGTTATGTACACTATGACATTCAGCAGAGTGGACACTGGGTAGTGTCTGTCTACTCTAGGCTCAAGACAACAGCATCTCCTGATGAGTACAGTATATACAGTATATAGTAGTAGTATAAAAATTATTTTGTTTATAGTATTTACATAATTATTGTACACATACAGTGATGTTTGCATATACAGTGAGTTCTGCTATAACGCGTGTTTTGACAACGCGAATTGGCTCGAACGCGATTTATGAATAGAGGAACGATATTTGTATAACGCGATTTTTGCTTACTATTTCTCCAATTTTGTGGTATTAACTGTGAATATGGTAAAGAAGAATATCTCCAAGAAGCGTTCTGGTGATTGCATTCCCGGTGATGATCGTAAAAGAAAGGCTATAACCCTTGAAGAGAAGCTTGATGTTATCAACCTCAAAATCACCCTTCTCTCCCATCAAGTTATATTCATATTTTTTCAAGGTAAAGTGTTACATTTACTGTATGATTTCATTATTAGATATGAATGAAACATTTATTTAGACTGTGCTAACCTTTGTGTTAGGCTAACTACTAAATTTTTTTCGATTTCGAGTAGTAATCTGCACCTAACCCTATTTTCTCCATAAGCCCTGTTATTCCTATTACGCGAATTTCTATAACACGATGTTTTACAAGAACACAACTATCGCGTTATAGCAGAACTGACTGTACCCTATACAGTATAAACACGGATCTGTGAGAGATGCATTATTTGGACTGTAAATTTTTTCCCAGTGCCATGTGGAATATTCCCTCATCTTCACTGTGACAGCTCCATTCACACCTCATACACCTGTATCATATTATAGATATTTAGTTTTTTTAAATATATTTATTTAAACAAACTTTTAGATAAATTATTTAGGATTAATTTGGTTAAAAATAAGTGTTTCTTTCTTATTTAGAAATTATTTTATTCTCTGGTATCAACATTTCTTAAGTTTTTTAATTAAAGAATTGAATCCCCATCATTATTTCATGTTGAAACATATTGTTAAAGGATCTTTTATTGGATTTGTCTAATAGAGAAATCAACCAGGATCATTATAGTATCAAATTTATCTGTTAAACACAATTACAACAGATATTGTGAATAAAAGTTTATACACTTTTTTGCCAGCTGTAAATATTTTTGCTCGTGCCCACGGTTTAAATATAAATGGAGAATGTTTATCCATGCGAGTTGAGATGCATAGTTCAGACTCTCGGAAATCTTTCCCCGGCACACAGAAAAATTCCGGAAATGTAGGCTGGTGTCTGCCAGTACAGGATGCGTAGTTTAGACTCTCGGAAACTTCTCCAAATATGGTATGTGGAAAAATTCTGGAGATGTGGGATTTATCCGGGTTTGAGAGAGTTGTCTCGTGACCTGGAAATCTCTCATCCCCGGAAGAGCTCTGCACCAATTAAACCAGCTAACAGGGACATCACTACTTCTTGTGTATACATCACTCTATTATGCCTTCATCACATTTTCCTGAGTCTTATCTTTTATAAAAATAATAGGGCTCCCTTTCCACATCTTCAACATTAACTGAAAAGCATAAACACTGTAGTACAGTACAATAAAAATATGCGTAAGAAATACTTTAAGTTTCCTTCGGAATGTGGGATGCAGAGGAAGGCATCTCTCACATACACAGTACTTTATAAAGCTTTACACAAATGTTATTGGATCACATGAATATTATCCCCCAGCTTAGTTATCCTTGACCCTTAACTGGAAGCTAAGGTTTCCTTGCCCCACTCTCCCAATAGTTGTATGTGCAAAATGGAATGCAAGGAACATGAAACTTCCACATATGATGGCTGTCATCCATGCACTTAACATCCATTGATGATGGTTGCTATTTAAGTTTGGTTAGTTTAAGCCCAAAACTAACCACTCTAATGCTAAGTATCTAACCTAATCCCCCATATTGTACCAGTATAAGGGTATTTAATCATTTGGTGCAAAAAGCCGGGGTGTTACTCTTCATGTGATCCATGTTATTACTGTACTACTGTATATAATATAACATTCATTGAGATTACTGTACATCTATTAATGCTACTGGCTGTGTAAGTTTATCTGCTCAGCTCCTCTTAACAAAATCCCTGAAGGAAGCAAATTTTTTTTTAAACAGCCACCCATTTATTTTGTGATTTCTTAGCACTACATTCATATAACTGTAAAGTCACATGGCATGTGTATGAATGCCCATCAAAAACTTCATGAAAAAAAAAAGTGTCTCACTCACCCGAGAAGTGCAGATGACATCCTTCAGGTTGATGTTCATCCAGTTGTCACATGAAACTAAATTACCATTGTATGTTTCTCCATTCTTCAGCTCCACCAACATGGGGTGGTTCTGGGCCGTCTTCAAAAGTGATAGAGGCAACTGTTGAAAGGAAGATTTATATCAAGTTCTTATTGAAGAATTTTTTCTGAGAAATCTAATCAGCATTTTTGGGCTAACTTCTGAAAATACAAAGAAATGTTCTGTATATTAGTTGAAAATAGGTGGCTTAGGTGCACAAGATTTATTAAATACTAAGGGTAATAGTCTGGAATGCTGACTCATGGTAACCAGCAACTTTAAGAAAATTTTCTAGAAGAAAACTTCTTTCTGACCTCTGGAATAAGGAAAAAATGGAGGACCTGCACCTTTCATAATTTTCTTTCAGCACTTGTTGGAAGGACATGCAAGTGTCCAAAATGCAGTAGGGAACTAACAATAAAGAACATAAGAATGGAGGAAACTTCGGCGGGCCTATTGGCCCATACTGGGCAGTCCCGTTTACACCCAACCCCTATCGCTCATATTGTATTTCCATCCAACCTATGTTTGAAGCTATCCCGTATTTGAGTTAATGATGATGTTTGGTAACTTGTTCCATTCATCCACTACTCTATTTCCAAATCAATGTTTACCTACCTTGCGCCTAAATCTAAATTTGTCTAATTTAATACTATTGCTACAAGTTCATGCCTGGTTGGATAATTTGAGTACCATTGTTATATCACCTTGTTTAGCCCTGACCTCTATCTCAAGGGAGTATAAATTAAGATGCTTTAACCTGTCTCTGTACTCAAGGTTCCAATGCCCGGAATTAGTCTTGTCATTCTTTTCTGAATTTTTTCTAGGGATTGTATATCGATTCTGTAGTAAGGTGACCAAAACTAAACTGCATAATCCAAGTGAGGTCTCACAAGCGCAAGATATAGTTTTAGGATAACCTCGCTAGTCTTGTAACTAACACTCCTTTGTATGAACTCAAGTACCTACGTACTTTGTTAGCCATGTTTTGAGCAAATACACATTGTTGACTAGGTTTAAGATTCCTACTTATCAGTACTCCTAAATCTTTCTCACAGTCGGATTTCTCTATAACAACGTTGTTCATCTGGAACATCTACTACGAAACAACCTTGTAAAAGATTGCCAACACGGTTTTATGCCGGGGCGCTCTTGCTTGACACAATTGCTCAAGGTATTGGATATTTGGACCCATATTCTAGAACGGGGTGGTAATATCGACAATATTTACCTAGATTTTGCCAAGGCTTTCGACAGTGTACCCCACGAAAGGCTGAAAATCAAACTGGAAGGGTACGGAATTCGGGGAAATGTCCTAGCGTGGATAGAAGACTTTCTACATGACCGCAAGCAATGTGTGGTGATTAATGGCACGAAATCGTCATCTGTACCTGTAACAAGTGGGGTACCGCAGGGTAGTGTATTGGGCCCGCTGTTGTTTGTTTGTTTCATAAATGACATGCCTGACGTTGTACACTCCTCCATACAAATGTTTGCCGATGATGGCAAGTTATTTCGGGAAATTAAGAACCAAGCGGACTGTGAAGAGCTGCAGAAGGACCTCTGTGGGCTCCAGGAATGGTCGAAGGAATGGCTGCTGAGATTCAATGTCACGAAGTGTAAGAGGATGCACCTGGGGCGTACCAACGGTAAGGAGGCGTATCATATGTCCCAACGGGATGAAGAAAATGTTCTAGTTGAGACTGTGTGTGAGAAGGACCTAGGTGTGTATGTTGACAATGAGCTGAAGTTCTCGGGCCATTGTGAGAAGAAGGTAAATCAGGCAAATAAATTATTGGGTCTTATAAGAAGGTCGTTCAGATATCTAGACGGTCCGTCCCTCGTGACGATCTTCAGGAGTGAAGTGCTTCCCCATCTGGAGTACTGTCACCCCATCTGGTCCCCGAGATATGCTAGGGACTGTCAGTTGGTTGAAAATGTTCAAAGGAGGGCCACCAAACTGGTGCCTGCACTTCGGCACCTCAGCTACCCTGAGAGATTGGAGCGCCTGAACTTGCCTAGCTTATACTACAGACGGGCAAGGGGGGACCTAGTTGAGGTGTATAAGCATCTCAGGGGGCACTACTCAGTTGAGTGTCCTTACTTGGAGCTGGCGGACGCTCGCCCCACAAGGGGTCACAGCTCAAGATTGAAGAAGCCGCAAGTCCAGAAAACCGTGAGGGCAAACTTTTTCGGAGTGAGGGTTGTAAACTCTTGGAACAATCTACCAGAGTGTTGTGACGGCACCGAGTGTGAGCTCTTTCAAGAGAAGACTTGACCAACACTGGAGCGGGTTCAGGTACATTCAGGAGCCGGTGCATGCCCAGTATTTGCCAACAGTGCGTGACAGAGACGTGACCGATCGCCCGGGCGGCTAGCGAGCCGATCTTTTGGTGAAGAATATAATGAAAAGAGACGTGACCGATCGCCCAAGCGGCTAACAAGCCGATCAGTGACGAAGAGGATAAAAGTAAATAAAAGTATCTCCTAGACTAAGTACTTTACATTGGTCCACATTAAATTTCATCTGCCTTTTTTCAGAGCATGAGTAAAATGTTTAGATCTTTCTATAGTTTTGTGGAGTCCTTGTCAGATTTAATTTCACTCCCTATTTTAGTGTCATTAGCAAATTTATTTATGTTGCTGTCTACGCCTATATCTCCGTCATTTATGTATATAATAAATAGTAATGGTCCAAGTACTGAGCCTTGGGTACTCCACTAATGATGTTACCCCAATCGGATTTAGTGCTGTTAATGCTTACTCGCTGTTTCTTGTCCTGTAACCACGCCCTAATCCATTTTAGAATATCTCTTTCAATTCCATAAGCCTCCACTTTTCCTAATAGTCTTTCGTGGGGGACTCTCTTGAAGACTTTCCTAAAGTCGAGGGATACCATATAATCGTGCCCATCATCCACTGATTCAAAAACAGTTGAAAAGAATGTTAATAATTAGTGAAGCAATGTTGAGAATCACTGATCAATTTGTGGTTCTCCAGGTGATTTCGAATAAAGCTTGAAATTAATGCTTCCAGCAATTTACCTACAATTGATGTTAAACTGATTGGACGGTAGTTAGAGGAAAGTGATCTATATCCTTTCTTGAAAATCGGGATCACATTCGCTATCCTCCAGGATTCTGGTAGTAGGAAATATACAGTCGGATGCCACTGCTGCACTCGGTAATACTGGAACAGATGGCTACACCAGAAGTTGTTGTTTGATTTCATTAATTTTTCCACAGATACGACAACTTTTTATTCTAATATTTTTGTTCTCTATCTATGATCATAAATCACCTGCGGTGAGCAGGTTATGAAGGATGAGGGAAATTACGGAGTAAAACACGATGAAAAGGTGGTCATATGACATCAAAATGATGTCTCTACAAGCCTTCTACACGAAAATAAATTGTTTCTTCAAGAAAGTTCCTTTCATTGGTTCTAGATTTCAAATTAAGTACAGTACTTTTTTTATATGGCGGGGGTCCAGGGTCCGCTCCCTACCTAGGAAGTTACTGTAGGTAGGTTACTTTGGTTGGTTGGTTAGATCAGGTTCTATTAGGTTCTGTGCATTGTTGTATCGCTTCTATTAATTACTATTATCCAAAGAACATATGTAAAAAAATTCACGAAATCAAGCAACACTTTCTGGTGTTAGCCTTCTGCTCCAAGATTACCCTGCACTCAACTCACTTTAATATTAAGGATGGTTTCTTTTACTGCAATGTGAGTCTGGGGGGCATAGCCTGGTAAAATTATTGTTGTGATCATGCACCTATTTGGAAGTAGTTCAGAATTGTTCAAAACACATCAAAAACCACCGAAAAACATAATGTCAACCTAACCTAACCAAAACCTCTCTCGGACGACCGTAACTTAAATCCTATAATACCCTGCATGATCGAAATGATAATACCCATAGCCTCCCAGACCAAGTTAGGTAGGATAGGTCAGGTTCTGGGTAAAATTTAGTTTTGGTTATCACTGTACTGTATTTAGATATCTAACCTAACCTAGCCACAGAACTATATCTATCCTAACTGGGGGGGATTGGCCCCCAGACCCATCCCCGGTAAATATTTAGAAGTTACCAACACCTACTTATACATTGAGTCTTATATAGGGAGAAAGAGGAAAGAATTAAAATAATTTATCTATAGCATTTTTGTCGGATGTATATTTTTTGAGTAATTTAACTGATAAAATTACCAACAATATCACTTGTTCAACATGGGCAGGACTTTGAAGTAGAGGTAAAATGTGGGGAAAAAAATATTTGAACACCTCATCTAACATTTCCTAACCTTAAAAAATCCCCAAACTATAAAAAGTTTACCTTATTCAAGATTTCGGTGTTAGAAAGGTGGTGATGGTCTCGATTTTTAGTACTGTATGTGGTGGTGTTTTCGGTGCTCATATGAGGGATCCATAAACTTGAAAGTGATTTTTAAAATTTTTACAAGTTAGGAAACATTAGGGCAGGTTTTCAAAGGTTTGTTTGGCGTTTTTTTAAGTATTTTACCCCACATTTTCCCTCTACTTCAAAGCTCTGCCCACTTTGAACAACTAATATTGTGGGTGATACATAGAGGATATTTTGCCATGACTAGCAAAGTAACAACTAATGCTATTTTACCGTGAGTGTTAACTGATTGGCTAAGTACTTTCCGTTTAATATGACGGGTAGTACACCCCCCAGCTAGGTAAGGTTAGGTAGATTTCTTTGGTTGGTTAGGTCAGGTTCTAGTAAATGTTGCCTCTTTTTAAACGATAAGAACATCTGTGGAAAAAATGAACAATATCAAACAACAACTTCTGGTAAGGTATATTTATAGCTACACAACGATCGACTCACAGCAAAATAAATGCCAAATGCCGCCAGTCACGGTCACATATCGTTCTCGTGTTGTTTGCCGGTAATGGACGATTAGCCAATCAGAGCGCATTCAAGGTAAAAGAGCGTTAATAAGAATTTAGCCGGTCACAACAAAATAATCGCTGCCTAATTTTATTGGTTAAAATACTCAAAAATTTTAAATTTCCGACAGAGACATGGTAATTATTGACGACTGACCCACCGTCAATTTAGCACCGTAAATTATTATAAAAACGCTGCAATTTCACTGTGTTTTATAGAGGACACTGTTGTAGTCTGTGCAAATGTTTTTTTTTTTTTTTTAACCCAACCTAACCTTCAACTAAAATAATTTTATAGAGGACACTGTCTAGTTTATGCAGTTTTTATTTTTCTATAAACCCAACATAACCTAATCTAACCCAACCCCTTAACATAAAACAGCCGAAAAGACAAAGTAGTGCACACCTAAGGCGCCTAAATATCTACCAAATGAAGCATTTGCACAAGAAATGATAATCATATCAGTTCACACTGATGAAAATAGTTAGAAAATAAAAACCAAAACAAATGACTTATTGGCAGGTTAGTTGTCAATATTATCCACAACTTCTAAATATTACCCCCTCCCAGGTTCTGTGCAGTCTAAATTTTATTCCTCTTCACCACTGATCGGCTCGTTAGTTCGGTCACGTCTCTATTACACACTGTTGGCAAGTACTGGCTCCTGAGTGTACCTGAACCTGCTCCAGTGCTGATCAAGTCTGGTCTTGAATGAACTCACACTCGGTGCCGTCACAACACTCTGGCAAATGACATCTCCAAAAATTTGGTGCAATTCCATAAGTTCCATCTGATGATAACCGTCTCCTCCAATTTTTCATGTTTATAAGTGTATTTCATTTATGAGTTTGACCCAATAAAACAAAATCAGAGGGTAAGATTGACCCCTGGCAAGTCTCAGGTGCCATCATACCACACACAGCTCCCTTCACAAATTTCTCTAAATAACGGAAGGTGAGGCCAACCATGACCTCACTGGTGCTTGCCTTACCCCTTGACGTACACCAGTAATTCCCAGGGTAGCCTACAACCACCACATCACCAGACAGTGCCTCACATCACTCACCATCGCTGCCGCTCGACCATCACCTGAGTCTCATCCACTACACCGCTAACGTTTTGTTAATTCTCCTCTAAAAAACACTTTTTTGAACCTAAACCTCTTGAGTTAATAGTGAAGCCATATATTTAATTTAAAAAATGTTTATTTTGTTTAGTATTTTATAATATTCCTATTACTATTATCCATACATTATAAAATATTAAAATTAAATAATTCCAAAATATATCACTTCCATATATAAGGTGAATTTTATTTAATAGAACAAATATATGAATAATAAAGAATAATTGTTTTACATTCTTAGTCAAAGCAGGCTCTAATACTTAAGAATTTCGTCCTATTAACGACACTGGGTTTGGGAGTTAGAGAATGCGGGTATAAGCCGTGACTATTAAGGACACCTTCACATCCTCCAACAACACCCAGCCAAAGACTATATACTAAAGATAGGAAAGCGCACCAAAATGTTGTAATAATTGGGTCCTAAAAAGTGCCGAGCCAAAACAATAGATAGCGTTAGTCTGCAAAGCCTATAATTTGTTTAAGTCATGACCGCGAAATTCATTTACTGTCAAAATGGCAGCAAGAGGACACTCCTGCGTGTTATGCCGCAGAACCAAGGAAGGCCATTCCCAATTTGTATACCATTCATTCCCAAAGGTAGGAGCACAGTTTTGAATCACATATATATATATGACATGACAGGTTTATTTATCATTATATTTACAAACAATGTGAAAACTCCCTACAGGTGCTTGCAATGGATAAGTGTACTGGGGCTTGAGAAACTTAAAGGAAAGAGTCCAGAAAATATAAGCATAAACACCAGGTTATGCAGCCATCATTTTTCCGAAGGCAATTACACTGCAGGGAAGGCATCTTCTAGGCTTTGTAATAATGCTTGTCCAGATATTAACCTAGTTTTGTATTATAATATGTATAGTGTGTCAAATATCACATATTGCAAATAAATATGTTTGCACATGTATATGTCTATAGACTTTATTTTAAGATCCATATTTTTGGGGAAAATAAACCATAAAATTATTTATGTATATCCTTCACCCCAAAACACTGCTGTTAATTATGATCCCCCAAAAATGTAATATTTTATATTCTAAAGCACAGAAAATGAGTTGGCATTCAGTTGACTTAAATGAATACATGGACTAGGATATTTATATGATTCACACAAAAAATATGCAAAAATATGTTCCAAGCATGAATAAAAATTATACTGTAGGGAGTAACAATTCTTCCAGTAACTTATTATAACATAGCAAGGTGAACGACTAATTTATACATTTTATGTGCATTATATGGAGAAAATATAAATTTTGTTATATTAACATATCTTAAGCATATTTCATATGAAAAATTGATACGTTAGCAACCGTTAAAATGATGCTCCGTATAGTGATGGACCAGCCCAATAGATAGCGCTGTCGTGGGTTTAGACCGCACATGTTTTTTAATGGTAGGGATAGGCGCTATCCTATCTTTCGTATATAGTCTTTGACCTGACGGCCAGGGTTTAAAAAGACTCATATCTATATAGAGAGCCGCTTCACTATACATTTTTGTGGATGACATAAACCAACCAAAAATAGCAATACTTACCATGAGTGTGGTACATAAACCACCTATTGTTGACTTATACAGTACGCTTCTCTCTTATGTCGAGAACACCGCAAATTAATTACAAGTTCAAATCTTCCTTTTATGTTTCCGTATTTTTTTCTATAGACAATGGACGTGTTTTTGCAACGTCCGCCCTTTGCCACATTTTCTTTGCTTACGTACAATTGTTATCAACAGCTGAATCTTTCCAGCGTCCCTGTCATACTGTACACGCGATCGCTTCCAGCAACTTCCACATTATGATTATGGTGTTACGACAAAAGATGAACCTACCAAACCTAATCTAATCTAACGATGATGTAATATATTTTAGTTAGGTCAGGATGCTTAAATAAGGATGGCTTGTAGTGGATTCCTCCCCTACAAACGCAATGTGTCGCTGACTGGCCGACCCCCGGCGAATCTACCAGCATATCCCTCGTGGTCAAGGTCAGGTAACCAGCGACGCCGAACAAAGCGGGGGCCTACCATCAAGCCACGCCTACCCCCGCTATATAAGACCACAGCAAGCAAAACCTCCTCTGAGCACCCTCACCAACCAGCTCTCCCTACTCACGCTTGTAACCACACTGCCTCCTCCCAGCACCAGCCACCAAGCTGTATTGTACAGTACATCCAATATAATATGTATACAGAGAGCACATTGTGAGTTTCCTTTCTCCATCCCATCCTGAGTGTGAACCCAAACATAACGTACCCCACAAATGGTGACCCCCGGAGATTCGCACTCACACAGGATGGAGGAGAAACATCTCATGTAAACCTACAATTGGTGACCCCTGGAGCCTTGAACACCACACTCCTTTCAGCTGCCTTACTCCTGGAGCTGAGAAGATCGTCCTGCCTGCTGCCAGCCTAGGCCAACCGCCTTACCCGCACCACGTGCTACCCCACTCCTCCACGACGACACCACCCGCACCACGTGCTACCCCACTCCTCCACGACGACACCAACCGCACCACGTGTTACCCCACTACGACACCATCTCACGACCGTCTGACACACTTCCGCAAGAATGGACGGATGGATCTCTCTATCGACTTTCAACCACAACGTCGAGGACTGGTTAGATCATGTGGAAGCAATCCTCATCGTTTCACAAGCTACTGACGAGCAAAAGTATGGCGCCCTGCTCTCTTCCTTGCCCACGGAAGTCGCCACGCATGTATCACGGACTATTTCCAACCCTCCAAAGAACAACAAATTTGCCACCCTGTGGGACGCCTTAAAAACGCAATGCCAACGGACCCGCCCCAGTCTCCTGCAGAACCTATCTTCAATCTCCCTTGGAAACTCAACTCCGGGACTTCTCTGGGAGGAGACGTGTAGGCTGAACTTTCGGCATGCAGACAGACTTCCCGACCCTATCCTGCGCCAGCTTCACGCACAAAAGCTTCCCACACAAGTACGTATCATCCTGTCCGCAGTAGATTACTCGACGACACCTGAACTCTACGCAACCACGGCAGACAGAATATTCAACGAGTGCGCGTCTGCATGCCTGGCTGCCGCGGACAACCCAACGACCACACCAGTACCTACCTCCGAACTTGTAAGCCGGGTCAACACCCCTCAGCCGAGCAATACCTCACAAGACATCAGGGACCTGTTACAAACTTTGAACCGCAGGATGGACACCATTGAACAGTTCTGTTCCTCCATGCTGCTACTGGACCTGGTACTAACTCACGCACCACGTCCTACCGACCCCAACACACCTGTCCTGCCTCAGACGCCGCCCCCAGCCCCCAGCACAGTGTATCTAGCCCCTGTTGGTACCATCAACGTTTTGATGGTAATGCAAGATGCTGTGAGGCCCCCTGCAACCACACGGCGAAGCGACATCGACGGAGACGGGTAGGCGCTATAACCTCCGCCACTATCAAGCAGCACATCACACGCCTTACTTCTGACCTTGACCACTTCACTCCTGCTGCCCGTCACTACCTACTACAAACACTACGTCAGGCGGTTTCTGCATTCAAGGCTACTGCCCCACGCCAGCCTTCCCACCGCCCTGAACACATTCATCCCACACCTCCTCCGCCAATCTGCCCACAATTACCCCTTGCAGCACCACCTCGTCCACAACATTTCTGGGCACCCTCTTTTCTTCCTCAGGTACCCACTGCACCTGTCTTGCACCCTCCTGCTGTAATGGACCCTCCTCCCGACGTGGCCCCTGCTCCTGACGCGGACCCAGACACCCCACCCTGCGCCACCGAGGACTGCGTACCCGCTGCGAGAGAAGCACCACATTCCTCGCCTGTAAAACTTTCTCTTATCCACAAACCTACTCTTCCCTCTACTTCTCCCACAGATCTCTTGTCTCTAGACAGAGTCGTCTCCCGTAGCGGCCAGCTCATCCACACCCCCGCCCGTTATGTCTCACATGTGGGATACAACCCTGCCGACAACGAGTCTCCTGAACCGCCCGGAGGGGAGGGGGAGTATTGTAGTGGATTTCTCCCCTACAAACGCCGTGTGTCGCTGACTGGCCGACCCCCCGCGAATCTACCAGCGTATCCCTCGTGGTCAAGGTCAGGTAACCAGTGACGCCGAACAGAGCGGGGGCCTACCATCAAGCCACGCCTACCATAGCCACCGAGACACCGGCTGATGCAGCATCATACTTCACAGACGGCTCGGTGGACCCAAAACATCATAGATCCGGAGCGGCCTTCTACACCCAAGGTCAGACCCTCCAATGGAGACTTTCCAATGACTGCTCCACCCTACAAACAGAACTGGTAGCAATCTCAAAGGCCCTACAACACAACACAACAAGTCCGTCATAATTCACACGGACTCGAAATCGGCCATGCAGGCGCTGCAACACAGTCAACCAAGAGACAACGTCCACATCATCACCTCGATCCTCGCACAGCTACAGGAATTCCAAAGCCAAAACCGACCAGTCGTCTTACACTGGATTCCCAGTCATGTAGGGATCGGAGGAAACGACGTGGCAGACGAAGCAGCCTAGGCAGCTACACGTTCTAGTAGCGTACACATCCAAGTTCCAGCAAGCGTGCAACAGATCAAGAATCACCTCAGAAAGACTACCAAGCTCCACATCAAAAAGAGCTTCCTTCACGCACTCAACGCTGGTTCCCAATCAGCCAAATGGTACCTGGCGGCCACAAAAGGGGAACCACCTTTCGCTGACAAGAAAACTCCAAGACAAACCCAAGTCAGCCTTCATCGACTACGACTAGGGTACAAGTGCTCCTGGCAGATGATCGGAAATGACGTCATGGAATGCACCTACTGTCAGGAGCCAGCAGCCAACCCACTTGAACACTATCTCCTCGATTGCGAGGTCACACAAAGCCTCCGAAACAGAACTCAAATCTCCCAAGAAACACACACAACACCAGCGGCCACTCTAACCCGAAAGGCCCA